TCTGATGACCAAGATTGAAGGGGAGCCTCCTTGCAAAGGCAGCAGCTTAACTGGCTGCATTTTGAGCATTAAATCTTCCCTGTGAAGGATGAGAGGGAAATCCTCCCCTCAGGCCTAATGCCTGGGAACTGGGTGTGACTTTAATAGAAATCAGATCCCAGCGGAGGAAACACCAGCGAAGTTCTGAGGGTTTCAGAGGCACTCAGCCCTTCCCAGGAGAATTTGGTTTCTGTTCAGCCTCTGTACTCCCACCTGCCCCGCCTCGAGGCCCCCTTAGCTGGGAGTCCCTGTTGTTCATAGCACATGGGAATAACAGAGACCAGGGTCCTTAGGATATCAGTCCTGTAGAGGGACAGCTCTGCCTCCAGCCCCCCAAGTGCCGAGCGAGTTCACCCAGGCAGACAGCCCAGAGGAAGAGAGAAGGGAGAGCAGACCTGAGGATAATGCTCTGGGGAGCGAGGGGTCCTCCTTTCCCTCCCCCCTCCTTCACTCAACAGACCTCTATTAAATGATGATAGACAGTGTGATGCATGGGAGACAGAGAGATGCCAGGAAGGGTTGGTGGTCTGCTGGTCCAGGCAGATTGATAAAGCAATATTTTTAGAAGACCGTGTGGTTAAGCGCTAGTAACAGTACACGCAAGGAGCAATGAAATTGCAGAGGAAATGGTCAACACCTTTGTATTTGTGTATGTTGGAAAGAGGGAGAGTTATTTAGACTTCATGGAAGCAGAAGGGAGTCTGGGCAGGAGAAGGAATGCACTGAAAAGCACAGTTTGGGAGGTATATGCTAAGGGGTCTGAACATCTGGGCCATTTGGCTGCTAATACCCAACCACAGTGGGAACTACATGTCCCCAGCCCTATCAGGCAGTATGCGGAGAAGCTGCCATGATCTTTCCAGAGTCTTCCCTCCTAGGCCAGGCTGAGCCATGGGATCACCTTCCTGGGATATTTGGATTTAGAATGGAGAGAATCCATTCATCTTTAGTGGCTGAGGCTGTAAGATAAAAAGGGAAGCAAGGAGTCAACCCCAGAAAAGAGCACTCATAAGAGGTGGAGGGGCCCCAACCACATTCAGGTCCTGGCTCCGGGGGTTCCTGACGCGACAGCTACCCTGACCTGCTCCAAGGTTTGGTCGTTCAGGAGGTGCCACAGAATCCTTCCAATGAAGTTTCGTCTTTGATAAACCAAGCTCTAGCTGGGTTTTCCCACTTGTAACCAAGAGGTTCTCAATGACAGTGGAGCATGGTTGAGATGAACTTAAGGCAACTGCACTGGGATAAAGAGAAGAGGGGATATTCTAGAGAGGTTTCCAGGGCAGAAATCAAAGGGGCAGGTGGAAAATGAAGAGGTAGGAGATTCTGAAATGTCATGAAAGCCAAGGAAAAAGATCCTTTTAAGAAAAAAAAAATCATACTCAATGATACACCCCCAAAAAGGAGGACAAAGAGGTCCAATATTGGAAAGCGGTGATTGGGTGTAGCAATTCAGAAACTCCTAACCAGACAGCTATGGGTTAAGTAGGAAATGTGAGGAAAGGAACTTAAAAAAATGATCATTTACTCAGCTTCAAGTCCACTAAAAACATCAACAAGTATTATTTTCATCCTATAATTCTGGTGTCCAATATTGTCACGATAATTCAACTTGATGGAAGTAAAATTATTCTACTTTTTGACAGCAGCTTTATGTCTCCTACTTCTGTTTTTTAAAATAAGTTAAATACAGGGGCACCTGGGTGGCTCAGTCCTTAAGCGTCTGCCTTCGGCTCAGGTCATGATCCCAGCGTCCTGGGATAAAGCCCCACATCGGGGTCCCTGCTCAGCAGGAAGCCTGCTTCTCCCTCTCCCACTCCTCCTGCTTGTGTTCCCTCTCTCGCTGTCTCTCTCTGTCAAATAAATAAATAAAATCTTTAAAAAAAATAAAATAAAATAAGTTAAATATTTTGTTTCATTCAAAGAAAAATGTTTTTTTCTCATCAGCCACAATAACCCTAAGCTAATAAATCTTTCCTCGATGTATATATTTATTGTTTTTATTTTTTGAATAGTTAACACATACACATGACTTCTTCAAAAGCTCATAGAGTATAAAATATGAAGTAAAATGTGAATCTCTTTGTCTTATTCATTCTCCCATTAAAAGCAGTTACCAGTTCTAGAGGTAGTCTGTGCACAAGAATATAGGTATATGGGTGGTTGCCAGAGGGGAGGAAGGGAGAGGGATGGGTGAAGTGAGTGGGAGATATAGATTTCCAGTTATGGAATGAATAAGTCACAAGAACAAAGGGTCCAGTATAGAGAATACAGTCCATGGTATAATAATAGTGTTGTATGGCGACAGATGGTAGCTACATTGGTGGTGAGCATAACATATAAAGTTGTAGAGTCACTATGTTATACACCCGAAACTAATGTAACATTGTCAATTATACTTCAGTAAAGAAAAAACAATAACTATTTTTTTATTGAAGTATAATTGATGCATAGTGTTATATTATTTTCAGGTGTACAATGTAATGATTCGACAATTCCTTATATTACTCAGTGCTCATCGTGGTAAGTATGGTCACCATCTGTCACCAAACAATATTATTACAATCTTATTGACTATATTTCCTATGCTGTACTTTTCATCACTATGATTTATTTATTTTGTAACTGAAAGTGCATACCTCTTAATCACCTTTATCAGTTTCATCCATTCCCCCCACCACATATACCTGCCCTCTGGCAAACCTCAGTTTCTTCTCTGTATTTAAAAGTCTGTTTTTTGTTTGTCTCTTTTTTTTCTTTGTTCATTTGCTTTGTTTCTTAAATTCCACATATGAGTAAAATCATATGGTATTTGTCTTTCTTTGTCTGACTTTTTTACTTAGTATTATACCCTCTAGGTCCATCTATGTTGTTGCAAATGACAAGATCTCATTCTTTTTAGGGTGAATAATATTCCACTGTACATACCACATCTATATTCATTCATCTATTGATAGACACTTGAGCTGCTTCCATAATTTGGCTATTGTAAATGATGCTGCAATAAACATAGGGGTGCACATAACTTTTTAAATTAGTTTTCTTTGAGTAAATATCCAGTTGTGGATCCTAAGTATTTCTATTTTTTAAAATTTTTTGAGGAACCTCCATACTGTTTTCCAGTGTCTGTACCAATTTGCATTCCCAACAGTGCATGAGCATACAAAATAATGAAACTAGACCACTTTCTTATACCATACACACACACAAAAAAAACCCTCCCAACTAAATGTGGGACCTGAAACCATAAAATTCATAGAAGAAAACATAGGCAATAATTTCTTTGACATCAGCCATAGAAACATTATTTCTAGATACATCTCCCCAGGCAGGGAAACAAAAGCAAAAATCAACTATTTGGTACTACAGCAAAATAAAAAGCTTCTGCACAGCTAAGGAAATCATCAGTAAAACAAAAAGGGAACCTACTGAATGGGAGATGATATTTGCAAATGATACATCTGATAAGAGGTTAATATCCAAAATATATAAAGTACTTACACAACTCAATTCCAAAATGATAAATAATCCAACTAAAAAATGGGCAGAGGATCTGAATAGACATATTTCCAAAAAAGACATACAGATGGCCAATAGACACATGAGAAGATGCTCAACACTACTCATCATCAGGGAAATGCAAATCAAAACTACAAAGAGATATTACCTTATACTTGTCAGAATGGCTAGAATCAAAAAGACAAGAAAACTTTAAAAAAATATATAGGTATATGCATTCCCTTTTGACATTTATATACACTGTTCCTTGCCTTGTTTTTTCTACTTCGTACAGCTCTGAGATTGATCTTTATCTGTGCATATATATCACCCTCTCATTTTGAAATGGCTGTATGGTATTTTCTTGGATGGATTTACCATATTTTATTTCCTTAGACCCCTATGGATGAACTTTTAGGCTGTTTCTATTATTTTGCTGATATAATCAGGCATGTAGTAAGTGTTCTTTGTTTGGGCATATCTATAGGACAAACCCCTATACCTGAAACTGCTAAATCAAAGGGAATGTGCATTTACAATTTTGATAGGTAGGCTCAAACTGCCCTCCCAAGTCTACCAACAATTCATGAGAGTGACAGTTACAGGACACTCTCACCCGGCACAGTGTGTCATGGTGCTTTTGCTCTTTGTGAATTTATATTATACTGTGGGAGGCAAAGGGTTAACCTCAGACCTGGGCTAATGGGACAAGGACCTCAGAGTCCTGTTTCTCCAGGAAGCACAAAGTTAAGCAAATGTGGAATGTTGTGTCTGTCTCATCTGCAGTGTGGCACTGCTCTTGGTCTGGGGGAACCGTGAACCCACATGCAACCTCAGGCTACCATGAGGACAAGGGTATAAAAGAGTGTCAGAGGGATCCACACAGACCTCGAGGTTTACCCACCTAGGAAGTTGCTTGGTCTTCTGAGGAGATGAAGATGTGTGCAGCTATATTGATGAGGGAGCAGAAGGCTAGCTGAGGAGAAAGCATAAGCTGACACCCTGCCACCTACCCCTCCCCCACTCCTGGGTGGGACATGTGCTGCTTTCTTCCAGGAAGCTCCCAACTATCTTACTGTTAATGCTTTACTAGAGGGGAAAACAACCTTAACTTGACAAAGGCGAGGCCTCAGGTATCCTGTAGGTCGTCTTTAGCATGTGAAAGTTCCTTTGAAAACCTCCCTTTTTCCTTACCTCCCCCAACCCCATAGTATAGAATCAATTACTCCTCACAACCCCAGCGCCGCTCTTTCTGCCCATGGTCCTGCCCCCGTGCTTTAATAAAACCACCATTTTGCACCAAAGATGTCTCAAGAATTCTTTCTTGGTCATTGGCGCCAGACCTCACCGCACCGAACCTCACCTATATTCCAAAACCACATCAATATGACTTGTCCCCTGCATCCCTTCAGAATCTAAGTGACATCAGTATTAGTTTAAAACCTGCTGTAACGCGTCGCATTGCCATGGCTCCCCGTGATGGCATCGCCCCTGCTGGCCAGGGTCTGCCCTACGCAGAGTACTCGCTGCTGGTGACCAAAGGGCCAGACGCGGACGTTGACCAGGGACTGAGCCTTTCATCCTACTATAAAGGAGGATTTGAACAGAAAATGAGTAGGCGAGAAGCTAGTCTTATTTTGGGTATAAGCCCATCTGCTGGCAAGGCCAAGATTAGAACAGCTCATAGGAGAATCATGATTTTGAATCACCCAGATAAAGGTGGATCTCCTTACCTAGCAACCAAAATAAATGAAGCAAAAAACTTGCTAGAAGCAACCACCAAACACTGATTGATGCTTCAGAATCATTCTGAAGGAAAAAAGGGGGGAATATAAAACAAAAAAGTCCTGCAAAGTAGTCTAAACCACGGTGTTCATAATTTTCATACATGTACTGACCACAATCATTTATTCCACTATCAAGGTATATAATAATAAGAGATTAACAATCTAAAAAAAAAAACCTGCTGTAACTCATGAATCTATGCAGGTGCACAAATCAATGGTTTAAATTTACACTTATTTTATTATGAGTGAGGTGGAGCATTTTTTTTCTACAAGTTCAAAGACTTTTTTTCTACTTTATGAACTGTCTATCATGTTCTGTGCCTACTAGGGAGGTTATGTTTATATTCTTGATTTATAAATGCTCTTTATATGTTACAGGATGGGTCACTTTATTGTATGTGTTGCAAATATTTTTTCCAGTTTTTCGTTTGTTTTCTGACCATGTTTATAGTATTTTTTACCATGGAGAATCATTTCATTTTATGGTTATACGTCTCCATCTTGTCTCTTAAGACTTGTGGATTTTATGAAGTCCTGTCAAAGGTCTTTTTTATTTTAAGTTTATAAAAGTTTTCTGTTTCCTTCTGGTTCTTTTATTTTTTTCTTCCCCTCCCCCCCCCCCATTTTTAGTACTCAATATATCTGGAATTTTTATTTTGGTATAAAGAGTTAGGTAAAATCCAACTTATTTTTTCCAGATTATTACCTAAGTCAGTGCCTTGATAATAAAAGCTTTCATACTCTACCACAAGGCACTATTATAAGCTCTTTTTCAGAGTTAGAAATATTAGACTTTCAAAATGCTTACAATATCTCTCAGCAATATAGAACAGATTATGCCAGTAGAAAGCTAGAGACATCTAATGCTCTATTCCACCTTTTTATTAACTATTCCTAAGATACACAATATAAAAGGATTTGTAAATTTTCAACAGGTATTGAGACTTTAATTTAGGTAAACATCTGCCAGATGTGCAAAGGATTGTCCACTAGCCAATACAAGATAAAGGAAAGTGCCTGTCCACCCACCCCCATGCATACCTCTTCCTCAAAAAGAAGAGGCTTTCCCTGACCACATGGGAAGACACAACCAGAAAGGAAAGGAGCCACTCTCTGAGGCTCCAAGGTGTGTGTGAATTCCTCTCCACATGGGTAGCTTTTTTTTTCCCCCAGAGAGTTCTAGACAGTTTAGTTCAAAGACACTATTTCTCAACCACATAAACCAGAGGTATACGTGGGTTTGGGGTTAAGTCTCTATCCATGGTAAAGAGGTCGGCAGGAGGCAAGGGCTGGACTTTGGAGAGCCTGGTGGGTTGGACACAGATGGGTATGCCCTTAGGAGGCAGAGATGGGAAGTGATGAGCATGAGTTCTTCAGTCCTGTCTTACAGAAACAAAGCTACATTTTAATTCACATTTTTAAAAAGCCCTCTTGAGAGCAAATGTCAAAGAAATCAAGCAAGACAGTTCTTAGTGCAATAGATTTACATATCATAAATAATTGCTAAACATCAGCAAACGTGGTTGGGGAATGTGCATGCCAGCCATCCCATAGTTTAAGATCTGGGATGATGATTCTAACAGCAACAAACTAAATGTGAAACAGTCAATGCAAATTGATCCACCAGCTAATGAGAAAACAGCAGACCTGGACAGACCTTTTACCTTCCAAGGAAACCGGGAAAACATCGCAGTTTATAGGAAGATGTATGGTATTGGTCAGGGATCTTGGTTGCATTAAATGGAAAGCAATTATAATTACCTTAGTCAAAACAGGAAACTTAGACATAACTGATGGCTAGGGGATAAGGGTTGAAAAGAGGCAGAAACCAGCAAATTCAGAGACCTAAAGAGCAGAATGCATCAGTTAGACTCTTATTTAAATGCTACACAAATTGCCTGGCTGATTTAAGTGAAAATAAATTTGCTGGCAGCATCTTTAAGGGCCCAAGAATTGACAGAAAGACTGGGGAATCTGGCTCAGAAAATGGTCAGGATCAAGAAGAGACATGTGAATTCTGCATTCACAGTCATGTGGATTCTTTCCACAGGATGAGTCCAAAGATGGCGCATCCACCTCAGAGGCTAAACGCGGGGTGCCTAAGTGTCACACAAGTCCCAAGTGACAACAACCCAAAGCTATCACTGGTACCATCACTTCCACCCCTGGAAACTGGCCATGGCTGTCACCACTGCAGACAAACTGTGAATTCTCTACTGGCCCAGACATTAGCATCACTACCTTCAGAATCTAGGTAAGTCCATCTTATTGGCCAGGTCATGTGTCCAGCTCCTGGCTTTTTTTTTTTTTTTAAAGATTTTACTTATTTATTTGACAGAGAGAGACAGAGCGAGAGAGGGAACACAAACAAGGGGAGAGGGAGAAGCAGGCTTCCTGCTGAGCAGGGAGCCCGATGTGGGGCTCGATCCCAGGACCCTGGGATCACGACATGAGCCAAAGGCAGACACCCAACGACTGTGCCACCCAGGCGCCCCAGCTCCTGGCTTCTTGCAGGACCTGACACTTCATATCTGGCTTTTTAACTTCCATTGTGGTAGACTGACTCAGCACCCACCCCCCTCCGCCAAGGACCATACACTGGGCAGTGAAGGAACTAGACAAATGACCACTCAAGCAACACCCTAAAAGGAATGTTCTGGGAAGGACATCATTGCCACTCCTGCTAAGCACCAAGATTGTCACCCCTGGACACCACTGCTACAGCCCCTGCCTCTAAAAATCACTTGGAACCAAGTCCTGGCTGCCAGGGGAAGGGACAGAGGGAACATCAAACCCTCAGGCTTCCAAAGAAAAAGACAAGCAATAAATAAAGTTCCATTAAAAGGAGACTATAGAACCCAAAATTCAGGAGGGGATTTTTTTTATGTTTTCGAAAAATATTTTTTAAACCACATGCTTTGGTTTTTTCATTTAAATTCAAGAAAACATGGAATCTATAAACCAAAAGAGAAAGAGAGCAGGGTCCTGGTTAAGGGAAGGATACAAAAGGATTAATAAGTGGTGCTTGAATTTAGTATTGCTTTCGAGACTGCAGAAGAGAAACCAGTGAAGAGGAGATAAGGCTCAAAAGACTTCCCTTAGTGCACAGAAGAGCAAAGAAATACAAAGATGAAAACCACAGATGCTATGAAATGAAGAGCCACAGAAACATAAGCAAATGTACCGGAAAGGGAGCCTAAGACCTTGAAAATAAACAATCATCACAGATATAATAACAGAAAACTTCTCTGAAGAGAGATAACAGCTTAAAGTTGTTCTCTAAGAACCAGCCATAATTAATAAGAAGGAACAACACATAAACAGGTGACGGGGGTTAAGGAGGCACTTGTCATGATGAGTACGGGGTGAGGCATGGACGTGTTGAATCACTGTATGTACACCTGAAACTAATAGAGCGCTGTATCTTAACTACATTGGAATTAAAATAAAAACTTAAAAAAGAACACATAAATATATCCCAATATATCCTGGTGACTTTCAAAATTACAAGAATAAAGGAAAAAATTCTATGAGCATGAAGACAGGGAAAAACTGATGGCACACACACAAAAAAAAAAAAACAGAATAAAATATCAAGCTAGATTCAGACTTTCCCTTTCAATCACACCAGATGACTGCCCTATCCTTAGCAGAACACCTGCTTTGAAAATACTGGAGCCCATCTAAATACAAATCGCACTAAGAAATTCAAAACTAAGATATGAGTAGTGAGCACTGAAATTCCATAAGCAAGCTTTGTGTAAATACTTGTAAACAGGCTAAAAAGAACAAAATGGGGGCGCCTGTGTGGCTCACCTCGGTTAAGTATCTGCCTTCCACTCAAGTCATGATCTTAGGGTCCTGGGATTTAGCCGCACATTGGGTTCCCAGCTCAGCCGGGAGTCTGCGTCTGCTTCTGCTTCTCCCTCTCCCCCACCCCTCTCCCCCTGCTCGAGCTCTCTCTTTCTCAAATAAACAAATAAAACCTTAAAAAAAAAAAAGAATAAAGTGAGGGGCACCTGTGTGGCTCAGTTGATTAGGTGTCCAACTCTTGATTTCAGCTCAGGTCATGGTCTTGAGGTTGTAGGACTGGGCGCAGCATGAAGCCTGCTTGAGATTCTCTCTGCCGCCCCCCCCCCACTGTGTCCGCACGCAAGCTGTCTCTCTCCCCACCCCCCAACAAAAAAAGAATAAAATGAATGTCAGGGGCACCTGGGTGGCTCAGTCGTTGAGCGTCTGCCTTCAGCTCAGGTCATGGTCCCAGGGTCCTGGGATCGAGCCCCACATCAGGCTCCCTGCTCGGTGGGAAGCCTACTTCTCCCTCTCCCACTCCCCCTGCTTGTGTTCCCTCCCTTGCTGTGTCTGTCAGATAAATAAATAAAATCTTAAAAAAAAAAGTCAGAATTTATTTGAAAAGAGAAGATAAAAATTAACAAAACTACTAATAATCTTAATCAAAATGGCTTTTTTAAAGAACGTGAAATTTAAGGGAAAGTAAATATGTGTTTTCCTCATGCTAAAGTTAAGGAAAAAGAGATATATTAAATTTTTTGATGCTAATTGAAGGAAACTATAATGAGGTATTTTTAATTAAATGTATTTATTTGTAGAACTTAAACCAAGTTGTGTAAATTGTAAATCATTATAAGAGAAAGAAATTTTTAATAAAACATTACATATAGTATTGAAACGATTTGAAGTAGGAGTGTTAAAATAAAAAACTGAGACTGGCCTCCAAAATTCCCTGAGCAGATAAAACCAGTTTAGTCATACAAACAAAGCTGAAGTCAGCTTATTTTGCAAGACTAACTTCACCTGGGTCATTTCTTGCTTTTGCTTCTGGGAATAAGCAAAACTTGAACCACTTCCCAAGGTTGACAGGAAGTAACCACTAACCAATTTCCTGTCATTTAAAGAAATTCTAATATTATAACCAATCACTGTGATGGAACAGAAGGCAAGCTGAGGACAAAGCAGAAGCTGACATCCCACAATCCCCACCCCCACCATGGGACATACATGACATTCCTCAGGCACT